AATTTAAAGAATTACTTTTTAAAACATGTGTACAATTTTTTTTCATGGTAATAACCTTTGAGGAAATCGAGGTGAGCTGGAAGATTTTTCATTTCATATTTTATATATTTATATATTTCCAATCCCTTTGATCCTTTCAAGAAAATATAACTAGATCTAGCCTAGTGGTAGAGCGTTCGCTTAGTGATCGGGATCGATTCTCGTTCGCGGCGCCGCGTCATACCCAAGACGTAAACAAAGGTAATGACTGCTCGGCACTAGAAGTGAAAGTCACGGGTCTTTCGGATATGAATTTAAAACCGTAGGTTTCATGACCAGGTGGGCGCTGGCACGATAAAGAACCCTCACTGCTCAATGGCCATGAGTGCTAAGTATAGGTCTCAATTTGAAGCCCTTCACCGGCATACGGTGACGTCTCCATATGAGTGAAAAATTCTCAAGAGGGACGTTTAAGGAGGCTCATTACACCACTTTTTGATGACGTACTACACAATTATTTATTTTTACTCCACTAAAATTATTTTTACTGCAGTAAAAATAAAACACTGGCCAATGCTACTCACAATTAAATATTTTTACTCCAGTAAAATTATTTTTACTCCAGTAAAAATCATTTAAAAATTTTAATTTCTTACTGAAGTAAGATTACTTTTTGGCCACATTACTCACATTTAATTAATTTTACTGCAGTAAAAATAAAACACTGGCCATCTAACTCACACATTAATTATTTTTACTGCAGTAGAAATATAACACTGGCCTTCTCTACTCACAATTAAATATTTTTACTTAAGTAAAAATCAACCAATAACCAAGTATGTTACAAATTAGCATTTCTAATAAATATTGGCGGTAATGGCGTATACAAGACATCACCGTGAATCAGAAAACACTAAAGAAGAATTCTTAAGACGAACAAAGCAAACCATCAATGACTGTATACGTTTATCAGCCACAGATAACCTTGAAGCAGAAACCATTGACAGCATTGTTTTACCTTGAAGGTAGGCATCATAAATTTGCATATTTATCTTGTTTGTTGGCGGATCCAAGATTTTTTTATGTGTTGTGAGAAAAGTTATATTTCTCAAGACCTATAGAAAATTTTCATCATGTTCATATTCCAGCTGTTATTATTTTGTACTAAAACTCAGTATCTAATTAAATATATATTTTTTTTCAGGTTCTTATATTCGGCAATGGGTATCATGAAAAATTATTTTTATACTCACGGATCAATAGATCGGGGCGCATATTGTTTTTGTCTTGTTTGTTTGTCTCTCGGTTGTCAACAGCCACGTAGCATCGTTTTTGAAAGGGGGGGGGGCAGCCCAGAGAAAAAAAATTTCACTTACCTGAAGAAAGTTGACACGAAAAAAAAAAACAAAAAAAAGAAAAAAGGAAAATTGTCCAAAGTCGGGTAGTTTGACAACTTTTTTCAGTGTCATCAACTTCTTTCAGTATCAATTTTTAGCATTCAGTACTACATTTCCCTTATATAAATTTCCTGTAGTGTACAGATTTGGGGGGGGGGGGGGCTACCAACCTTTCAATTAACATTTCCTATAGTAAAAGTCAGGTTGCTATCCCCCCCCCCCCCCCCCCCCCCGTTGCTACTGCCTGATCAACTTTAACATTCACCATACATGTAACTTACAAACCATGAAAGATAGATTCACTCCACTATAATTAAATTCTTTCAAATGACACCAACGTTAATGACCTTGTGACCTTAATTGTAACCTATAAGCTAAAAATATTTTTTAACCTTTACAATGAACCACAAAAATTATCGAGGGACTTCATGTTTGGTATGCATATTCCACTAACTAAGTTCTTTCAAATGACACCAAGGTCAATGAATGGCACAAGTCATACATTGTGGAGTAAACAAATAATATATAGCCAAACAGCTTTTCCTATATTAATTAAATGCACCACGTACATGTACATGTATGAAGTTACAAATAAACCTCTGCTAGATGAAGAATTTTAGAAATGTCATCTTGCTGTACATATAAAAAAGACCTCAAGTCTTTTTATATACAGCAAAATTATATTGAAAAAAATATATATTTTGAGTTCTTTAAGGAGGAATGCCACATCAACTTTTTATTTTATAGATCTCTGTGTCAACCTTTTTAAACAATGGTTTCAGCATTGAAAGGCCGACATTAGCTCTTATTTATTTTATATGATTTTGTTTTGTAAAATACAAAGAAAATTAAAGGTATATTTAAATTTATTTTTCAAGCTTTACATAATTTTCTAATGCAAGCTTTGTTTCAGAATCGAGCGCGTTGAAAGAAATCTTGTCAGAGGCATTGGCGTTGTGTTGTCACAAGAAGAAACTGGGCCAATTTTAGAAGAGACTCGGGAAATGCTGAGAGATTTTGAGCAGCTAAGGGAGGCATCAGGTTTAGGTAAACTAATTAACAATTCAATACAACTGAAAATAAAGTATTAGGAAGCCCTGTACGTTCTGAAAATGATCACTAAATTATGTATGTTATGATAATCAAAGTGATATGTCTTCATAATGTGTTCCATGCAATGTATTGAACTCTTTAGTATGTGATCCAATTAATATGATCTAATCGATAAATATAACAAGATTTTTGTGAATCACTGCATGATGTCCCTGTATGGCAAAAAGTAGGTAAAACACCAAGTTGAAGGTCAAAGAGTCAAATGAAAGTTGTATGTTTCTAATTTAATGAAATTAAGGTCTTCTCACAAGGATAACATATGAAGTATATGAAAACCCTAGCCCTACCATTTATAAGTTATCGTTGAGGTTACACTTTTTTTAAGTACGTAATTCTCCAAGGTCAAGATCAACTCAAAGTTGATGGTATCCAATGAAGATTTCGATACAAAAATACATATGTGAAGCATGAAAGTCTAGAGTATTCACCATTAAAAAGTTATGGCCAAAGTAAAATTTTTGATTTTTTTTTGTATAAGTGTTTCAAAAACCAAGGTCAAGAGGTCAAATTTGTCGGTCACCAAAGAAAGGTCTTGTCACAAAAATATGAAATATGAAAGTTAAAGCTCCACTTAGTCAAAAGTTATGGGCAACTTGTTAAAGTTTTGCCAACAAATGGACAGAAAGACAGACAGACAAAACAAAACCTATATACCTCTGAATCTTCAATTATGTGGGCATGACAAAAATACCGGTAATACACATTTTTATATTGATGTAAGTTACACATCTATATTGATGTAAGTCAAATATATTTTCTCTTACCTATTCATTTAATTAATATGTTCGTTCCGTTCAGTGTGTCCAGTAAAACATTTTTTTCATATTTTCCTTTATAGGTCATTCTAGCTATAGACCTGGAAAGATCAGACTTGGCAGATGTGGAGCTCCAAGATACGACGTGTCCATGGAACAATTAGAATTCTTGGTTTCACTTGGATTCACGGTCCCTCAATTATCTAAATGCCTCCACATCTCCAAAAGTACTGTCTGTCGCAGATTGAGGTAAGCTTTAAAAGCTTTAAAATTTCTTTAAAACTAAAAAACCAACTGACATCCATGTCCTTAATTAATAGAATCATACTTTGTATCCCCATAAGTATTCAAGCTGAAGACACTCTGGTTTAAAAGGCAGTAGTTTTAAAAAAAAATCAATAGAATCACTTAATTACCCATAAAGACAACTTATACACCAAATATTCACATTATTAATAAAGGTGTTCATGGTGTAGAGGGTGTATTGTGACCATAATAAAATCAAGTTAGTCCAATAAAATAAGAGGCCCATGGGCCACAATGCTCACACATTGTGAGTCTATTTTTCATCTTATGTTCACTCTTGTAATACATGTAGTTGGATTCCATATGTGGCCTTAATCTACCCCTGGGAGTCATGATTTGGACAATTTATAATTAACTTTACACCAGGCCACTTCTACTTAAGTTACAGCTTTACTGGGCCAGTGGTTCTAAAGAAGATTTTTGAATATTTTATTCTATACACAAGTACTTTGATTTGCCATTGTTCCCGGCCACTATTCCCGTGGACCATATTATTCAAAAACTTGAAATATACACCTACTCAGGAAGCTTTTAGTATAAGTTTCAGCTTTACTGGTCCAGTTGATAATGGGAAAATTTTGTATGCCTTCACAATATGAAAAGTTTACAAACAACAGACACTGAGGTAATTAGAAAAACTCAAAACTTGAGCTTACAGTGTAGATGAGCTAATTACATGTACAGACTTTATCCATATTATTCAACATATTAGTGATCATTTGGAGGGTGTACCAAATTTTATAAGTAAGTGATTTACTTACTTATAAGCTTTGGTACACCCTCCAAAATGATCAATATAATAGTCTACCCTTTTGAAATGTGTGAAGTCTCCACAGTTTTTAGCTCCAGAAGAGCTTATGTGATAGTAAGGTGTCCGTTGTCCGTCCATCCGTCTGTCTGTTAGTTTGTAAGCAATTTTTCAAAATGCTACTCCTCCAACAGCTTAGGTCTGATTTCAATATACATGTAATTTGGCAAACAAGTAGGCTTCACTCAAAGTTTCAATTCCACGTGCTACTTGACCAGTAAAGCTACAGTCTCATCTGAGACTTCTGGTTACTTTAAAGGTTATAGGTTACTTTAAAGGTTATAAGTGATATTAAAGTTTCTAGGATAAATATATCATAAAAGCGGCAGACCAGGAACAATAATTTGATCATGGAAAATGAAAAAAAAAAAATAAAACTGTTTGAAAAACATTCAACACATGTGTTTTTCATTGGTTTTTAGGGAATATGACATCAGTTTGGCCAGAAAATATACACCAGTGAGTGAAGAAGAACTAAAGAATATGATAAAGAATATTACCGGAGAAAACCAACAAATTGGTCCAAATGCAGTGAGAGCTAGACTGGCAGGTCAAGGTATCATCATTCAAAGGAGACGGATAAGGGAAGCTTTGAATGAAATAGATCCTGCTGGAGCCATTGTACGTAGTATGAGAACTCCGATATAATTAGAAGAACATATTCAGTAGCAGGGCCAAATTCTTTGTGGCATTTTGATGGAAACCATAGACTGATCAGGTATATTGATGGATTATATGTTGCTTAACATCCCTCTCAAGAATTTTTCACTCAATATTTAGACACAAATTAAAACTGACTTGTTATTTCATCAAATTAAATACAACTGTCTTTTCTAAATTTCAGGTGGAACATTGTAATCCATGGCTGTATAGATGGCTACAGCAGAGTTAACATTTATCTTGCAGCCAGAAACAACAACAAGGCATCCACAGTGCTAGATCTTTTTAAAGGAGGAGTGGAAGAGTATGGTCTTCCTTCACGTGTTCGATGTGATATGGGTAGGGAGAATGTGTCTGTGTGTAGATATATGGTAGAAAAAAGAGGGGAGAATAGAGGTAGTGCCATACAAGGTAAAAGTGTACACAATCAAAGAGTGGAGCGTTTGTGGGTGGACGTCTGGAAAGGTGTCACTAACTTGTACTATGATCTATTTACCTACATGGAAAGTGAACACTTGTTCGAAATAGGTAATGCCATCCACCTATGGGCATTACATTTTGTATTTTTACCGAGGATCAATGCTGATTTGAGTCTTTTTCAGTCACAGTGGAACCACCATGGGTTAAGGAGTGAAGGGCACATGTCACCACAGCAGCTGTTTGTTTCAAGGGCCTTAGAACTGTTTGGTACTGAGAGAACTGCTGTTAAAGACTTGTTTGATCCAACAAGAGAGAGCGAAATATCGGAAATGTATGGCGTTGAAGATCTTGGGTTAGCAGATGAAGAAGAACCACAAGAAACAGAGGAACAGATTGTTCCTTGCCCTCTCAATGATGAGGCACTTGAAGAACTTAAAAACGTGATAGATCAACATGGTGACAATGATCAACTGGGTATTGAGAGTTATTTACAAGTTCTGCAATTTCTTCAGGATCAGTTATAAAGAAATTAGGTGGATCTACTCATTGTATAATGCCTTGAAATTTTCAATTATTCCAATCATTTTCAGTTACTTTAACATCCTTTTACTTGTTGATTAATGTACAAAATACATGTGAGCTCTTCTTGTTAATTTTTCTTACAGTATCACAGTAATTTAACTATATTAAGGTCAGAATAAGAGTACTTTTCTTCTGATTAATGATTGACATGTATAGTTTATTTGTCCCACTATTTAAGTAAATCTCTTATCCGAATGCAAACATATATGTACATGTACTACGAATATTTTTTTTTCATTCTTCACATTCTTTTTCCTATTTTAACATTGCAAATATAAAATACGTATATACAGCTGCTTTTTTGACTGTCTTTATTCTTTACCCTGTCAAGTAGGGTCATAACCACTTCTAAAAGAGAACAGTTATTGCGATTTTTAAATTTTAAAGTTGCATTCTCCAGATACTTGAACTACCTTTAATGGATGGGAGTCCCTTTAACTTAATTTGACTATAGCAGTTGTATCTTCACTGAGTAACAGTTTTCAATTGCCATTGATTACATGACTAATTAGTCAACTGAAAATTGTTAATTAATGAAAGACAGTAGCATAATTTTTTATTCTCAAGAACAAATAACTAATTGTACCTTCGTTTTAAATATTGCTTAAAAAATTCTATTTTCATTTAACAAAAAAAAATTAATCATTTCAAAAAAGAAATAAACAAAATATTCTAATGATAGCAAATTCAAAAAGATTTAGGATTATTACACGCTTAGTTTGGACTTTCATTAAGGCGTGTTATTCTCAACGTTACCTAATTAGCTTCTGAAATTTACACAGCTTCCCTTCACTGTTGAAATATACATAGGATAGAAATTCGGACGAATGTCAACCGGTGTAGTAAATAGCCAATTAAAAGTTCTGTCACGACACAGAGGTGGGGCATAAGTTGTCTCATCGTTGTCAACAACAATTTAAAGTTGCTGATGTTATTTATATCTCAACCAATGAGAATCTACTAATATTCGCCATTACTTAGTGCCGAGAATGCCACATCCACTGAAAGTCCAAACTCAGGAGAAAATCATCCTTATAGACATTTCTGCACAATATTACAATCAAATTTTGGTTCTTAGTCGTAAGTTCTATTGTAAACCCCCCCCCCCCCCCCCCCCCCCTGGTATCAAGTGATTTTTTTTTACAGTTTGGTGGGATATGTATATATTCATTATCATATTCAGGTTAGAATATATACATGTAATATAAAGATATACTCTTATTGAACAAGTCAACACAGTCAATAAAGGTGATTTTTTTTTTACAGTTTGGTGGGATATGTATATATTCATTATCATATTCAGGTTAGAATATATACATGTAATATAAAGATATACTCTTATTGAACAAGTCAACACAGTCAATAAAGGTTTCATCCTTTTATATTGCCTACAGAGTGACATAAAAATGTATCAAACATTTCCATAAGCAAGTTGAAAAATTTTCAGGTGTAATGTATTGAAAGCTTTATTTAGCACAGTCAAAATGTGTTTGGCCATATTATAATTAGCAAAGAAGATGGGTAAACATAACAAGCAAAATTGACAGGACTTATGTAGCCTAGCTGCTTATCTTGAAAGAAAATGATACTCAGGATTTTTATTGCTAAGGTTCAAACTACATAAATACAACATTGTTTTTTAATAGGATGAATTTTGCCATGAAAAATTATCTCGGCAAATTTTGGTTATAATTTTCAATAATGAAAATTTAACTGTGAATACTAAATTCACAAATTGAACAATTCTTAGCTGAGCTGAGTTGAAAGTTCAAGTGAGCTTCTCTGATCACAACTTGTCCATTGTCCGTCTGTCTGACTATAAAGTCCTCAGGAAGCATCCTGGGGTATGTAGTGTAGATTCTAAATTGTTCAAATCATGACCCCCAGGTGTAGGGTAATTATAGCCGATATTAGAAAGGGAGAAATCTGTTACTGTGGTGAGCAATATGGCCCATGGGCCTCTTGTTGAAACTATAGACTTGTACACACAATTTTCTTAAATATTATTCCTTGGAAAAGGTTTGTGTGTTAATGAGAAGTTCTGTATAGTATGACACAGCTTCATCTTGCGTCATTTCTTCTTTGATCTCCAGAGTTAAGCATAAAGCACAGGTGTTAATATTCGTGGTACTCCCAAATTCCACATCGATGGATTTGTGGAATCCACTTGCTGGTATATGTGTTGAACCAGTCAACCACATTAGAACGTCCTTTGGCTTAATGTTAATGCCATTTACTGTGGCCCCAGATCCTAATAAAAAAAAACAACTCTTGATAAATAATTCAATTGGAAAATCAATGCCACAGAAACAATTCTCAAATTAAAACAGTTATTGTATTTAAAATTCATTGCATTTTTTTTAAAAAAATATGTTTTTGAAACACTGATGACCCCATGAATGTCAGTTTATGACAGAAATTCAATTAAAGTTTTTCAAATGAAAGTAAAACCCAATCATCAAGATAAAAAATTTTGTTACTCAAAGAAAGGACTAAATCGATATTCCTGTAAAACATGAAAAACCAAGCAGCAACCATATAAAGGTTATGACCAATTTAATCTTTTTTTAAAGTTGCTCTATGTACAAAGTCAAGGTCAGATGACAAATACATGTAAAATAGTACCAAGGGGAAGCCATTGCCTTAGGAAATCATAAAAATCATTGCACTCAATCAAGTTTACTGTCAAAAAGTAATGATAAAGGTTAATATTTTTCAAAAGTAGTTCAAACTTCAAGGTCAGTCTTGTTGGGAATGTTAAAGTTTTTGTGGATAGCTAGACAGACAGAACAAGCAAAAAAATATAAACTTCCTCAAATTCTTTGAATATTGAGGCTTAAAAATAAGGGTTTAGTCATAAAATATTGAATGTTCTTTGTAAATTACTGGAGGGAGATGGAATAGAAAAATGGCTAATTAAGCTAGATTACACTAGGTAAGCTGCATACCTTTAGTAGCCTGTAAAAAGGTTAAGAAGCCCTGCCCAGTTGACATCTCCTGCTGCCTCTTATTTCCCTCGGTGTACTTAAATTTCAGTAAATTCCGAACAGCAGCAGCTGTTAAAGGCTTTATTTTCCCACTAAAAAGTGCTCTGCACTTGTCTCTCATTTCCTCTTGTCGCAGAGCACTTAATAGTTGGTGGGTATCTAAACCTAAAAACAATTTTTATAGATATATTCTGATAATACAATGTTGGATAATTTTAATTTGGCAGGGACATTTCAACCTTATGAAACTTGCAGGTCATTTAAAAAAATTGATTTATCTCTCCATATCACATCGTTATACGTAGAGAAATTTAATATTGGTGGGAACAAATAATGAAATAAATTTTTATTTCATCGAAATATGAAACATAAAAAACAATTTTTATGCATATGTTTGGAAAAGTCACAAATATATTCTGATAATTTACAGTTTAATAAATATCACATTAAAAACCATAGCACTGGTTCTCTGCCCTTGAGTTGAGGTTTCGAGAGTTACCTGTATATTGATAATACAATGTTGGATAATTTTAATTTGGCAGGGACATTGCAACCTTATGAAACTTGGTTTTCATTAAAAAAAAAATTACAGTAAGAATTCTTCCATATCACATTATAGTATATTATAAATACTGCATGCTCATGGAGAACATTTTTATAATACCGTAAATTTGATTGGAGTGCTTCATTTACATCAGTGTACCTTTAATAAATTGGTCCAGCTCCTCCTTGCAGCTCACAACTTGGTTCTCTATAAGGCATGCTTGGAGTGTTGGTACATGCTTTGCTGTAAATCGCATAACTGGTAATAGAAATCCAGCATCTGTAGCAAAGTCTGAGATAGCTATGTACTGTTGTTGTAGTTCATCCTCTGAGGAACATGTAGCCATCTATAAATTACAAGTACCTAGTAATTAGTACATCCAATGATTTCAAGAGGAGAAAATCTAGCTATGTTCATAAATGGTTGTTTGACTAAAAATTAAAATGTAATTATATTAATTAAGAAACAACATTCTGATTTCTTAGCATTTATTAATATATTAACATTATTACTGAAAAAAATGTACTTTTTCCAAGATTTCCTTTGGACCTTCCATCAAATCCTCTGGGTCCAGTGAATCGTATTTTCCATTTAGTATATAGTCCGTGATACACTCTGAGAAGATTGGTGCTCCTGGACCATCTTGAAGAATGGATAATGCAACTAGCTGTCCAAGGTGGAAAAAAGTGTTCTTTTTCCTTTCCATAAAATTTGCTTGGAAACTAAGTCTTCCTTCCTTTCCTGTCAATAAAAGGGAAACAAAATCATTGACACCAGGATATCATTGTTCAAGTTTTTGCAGATATTATCCACAGATTATATGGTCATTAATGTACGTAATTTTTACCTGTCACAAAAATTGAATGCGAGAGCTGATACAGAAAAAGACTCCAAAACTCTCTCCTTAGTCCACCTACATCAACCCCCTGCTCTCCACAAAATTTAATTTGGAGAGGACTGTGAAGGTCTTCCTGGGAGTACCTGATTATAGCTATAGCATCCATTAGAACATGTTCCCTCCTTACTTCTAGTAAGAGAGGGTCTTCGGATCGCATATTAATGAAATTTTCTCGATGTTGTAGTATAAATTCTTTTATATCATCTACAGAGGAACTTGGTCTGAAAAATAAAAGAATTTCTTATTTCAATGTCTATAAAGTATATAAAAATACAAATTTCATTGCCTTTTTTTGAAGTTGGAAAAAGTGTATTTGATATTGGTGAACTGTTGCAACAGAAAAATTAAATGCATAATTTCTATGGCACATGATATTGTTTATCATGTACAGTTTCACAATAATTACAGAATTTACCTTACTATTACTGTTAATTAATGAATTAAAATAATGGTGTTTTCTTTTTAATATGTTCCAGTCACTTTGTGGAAGTGGTGTAAGAAAACCCTCAGACCTTAGAATTTTTCAAAGCAAATAAAAAAGTTTTACCTTGACAATACAGAAGGAAGCACCTCTGGGACAAAGTCATTGATTCTGTTGTGGTCAATGTTGGCATTTTCTATTGATGGTGTAATGAAAGACCTGTTGTGAAATATACATGTATATGTTCATAATTAAGATTTTAATTAAATTGCTTAAATTGATAGCAAAAAAGTTTATTTATTGGCAAAAGTGGATAAGAAGTAATCACCTGGTTTCTAAATCAATAAGCTGTCTAACTGGTCCAGCATTGTTTA